CAAACAATATAAGAAGGTGTTTAATTTAACTTTAAAAGTTTTATGATATACAAGGTTGTTTTTAATTCTAACTTTAATAAATAAAAAAGTAATTTAAAAATAAAGTTATTACTGAGTAATCTCTTTTGTGCACAAAATTATCATCAAGGACCTCAAAAATTACATTTAACAAGCAAAGGTCACACACCTACTGGTTACAGAGACTTAACCAGAAACTGAGGCACTCAAAGGTTCTTTGTAGAAGTCTAAATTAAGCAACCTATACAGAGAGCAGCCAAGTCACGGTGGCTAGATACTACTTTAAAATAGTAAAACACACCAAGTATAGCCGTCAGGGCTTGGCTTGTGTGTTTTTACACTTACATTAGTAACACCATTTGCAAAAATGCATGGTAAGAGATGGTGTCCTGCCCAGCAGCTTTCTCTCCTCCACTTCAGGCTAAATCAAAACCCGACGAGCTTTAAAGGAAGAAGGACTCGGGAAAGCAGGAAGGAAGTAAAGCACAGAAACTGGCGAACTTGGAGAAGGAGCCCTGCACCTGACTCTGGACCAAATTCTCGATCAAGAAGAGGACAGACTCCCCACAGATAAGGGACGCTGAGAAAGTGAGAGCTACCCCTGGCCCCAGGGAGTCCAGCAGCCTGCAAGCTGGGAAGGTCCCCAGGACTTTGGTGGTGAGATTGGTCCAGGCAGAAAGGTCCCAGAAAGCTTCACTGTGTGGCTGGAGAACCGAATCCCGCGAGGACTGGAAGAGCCCAGAAATGGAATTCCCTGCAGCCTCGCATGGACTAGTATTTGGCACTGTGCAGCCCGACTTACACACTTGTCTCATTTCACTCTGACTATAGTCCTGGGGATGAGACAGAGGCAGCCTCAGAATCTGTGCTCCTGAATTAAATCACACATCCAAGGACACATAGCTCGGCGGTCTTGGAGCCGGACTTGAACGCATCTTCCCATACGCTGTATTGCTCCCCATTACAAAATCTATGCTATCTGTCACCGCTCCGAGAGATTGATGAGGAAGAGTCCTGTCTTCATGCCTCGTGGCGTGCAGAGTGTGGCAGCAAGCCAAAGGCAAGAACCCAAGCAGAGAGGAAAGATAATTCAGGTTCTGACTCAGCATTGTTCCTGATGACAGTTAAGCTAATGGAAGCTACAAAACACAGCCAAGGAAATTCTTTGTTTTTCTCGCTTTGCTGAATAGGACTTGGATGTTTGAGGGTCATTTAAAGGCCCTGCCAGATCAGAACTTTTACAGAGAGTTCAAGGCACACTGGTGCCCTTCGTGGCAGCATGCCCGTTAGTCTGCCCAGTTTTACCGAGAATGCTGCCAGAGGGGAGTGAGGGTTTTACCTGAAAAGTGAAGCAAAACTTTAAAGTGTACTGCCAAGTGAGAAATATTACAAAACAGTACAAGTAGTAAAACCCGTTTTTGCTCGCCATGTGCATGTGAATTTATTTGCATAAAGAAAGGCTGCTCTCCGGGCAGTACAAGGATGAATAATTCGATTAGCGCCAGGACCATCTAAATGATTACTGCACTAAGTGATTACAAATCCCTAAGCCAAGGTAGACAGGGCTTGAATCCCTGATCTGCCAGTCTTTGGACTGGGACCTTGAAAAAAGCGAGTGACCTGAGAGTGTCAGTTTTTGTAAAATAAGATTGAAGTAACCTTGCTGGAGTGTAGTGAGAATCATCAAATAATCCTAGAGTGTGCCTGGCCCAGAGCTTGGCACGTGGGAGGAGCTCAGTTCCTCATGTGTGCAGAAGACTCTCTCTTTTACTAGAGGCTACAATAAAGCTTCCTGGTTTTTTGGTTTTAGGTTTTGTTTTGTTGTGGGGACTGAACCCAGGGCCTTTGCCCTGAGGTTCATATTCAACCCTTTTTAATTTCTTTTTAATTTTGAGATAGAGTTCTGCTAAGTTTTAAGTTGCTCAGGCTGGTTTTGAATTTGTAACCCTGCCTCATTCCCCCAGAGGGCTGAAATTGCAAGCATGCGCCACTACGCCTGGCTCAACTCCCTGGTTTTACATCTGCTGCCACACCTGCTTCACTCCAGACAAGAAGCCAAAGACTGAAAACTGCCAGCTCCTGTCTAGAACCCAGAGCTTTAACCACTGCTGAAATCTCTCTTTCCTTTCAGCACAGACCATTCAGGCAGAACAGCAGAAACTGTTAGAGGAATCATGGCACAAATGTCTATTGTAACAAGAATATTTTCTCAGATGGACAGAAGGTAGATGGAATCTAGATCCAGTAATCTCAGACTAACCTCAATGGGAAAGTCTTTTTTTTTTTATTATTTTTTTTACTACTGGTGGGGCTATGGGGGAAAGGAACCCTTTTTCACTGATGGTAGGAATGTAGACTGGTGCAACCACTGTGGAAATCAGTGTGGAGACTCCTCAGAAAACTAGGATTGGAGGTCCCATTCAACCCAGATATTCCCCTTATGGGTATCTTCCCAGAAGAATTAAAAACATCATACCACAGAAATATAGTGCACCCACATTTATAGCAGCACAATTTGTAATAGCTAGATATTGGACACAACCTAAGTGCTCATCAACTGAGGAATGGATAAAAAGATGTGTTTTTCTATAATGGAATACTATTCGGCCATGAAGAAGGATGAATTAGAGATTTTTATAGGTGAATGGGTGCAACTTGAGCCATACTCATAAGTGAAATAAATAAGACCCACGTATGTAAACATATTGTCTCACTAATGTGATAAGCTGAAAGAAATAACATATGTATATGTGTATTTGTATGTGTGTGCATATGTATATTATATGTATATGTATATAAAAAACTAGTTAAGATAGTTATACTACTGATTTATCTGAGTTCACTGGAGAGAAAGATTTGTGTGGAGATTCCTCAAAAAGCTGAGACTATAAGTCCCATTTGACCCAGCTACTCCATTTCTAGGCATATGTCCAGAAGATCTGAAAACATCATACCGCAGTGATATATGTGCACCCATGTTTATAGCAGCACAATTTGTAATAGCCAGATCTTGGAACAGCCTAAATGCCCATCAACTGAGGAATGGATAAAAAGCATGTACTTTTATATAATGGAGTACTTCTCAGCCATAAAGAAGTATGAATTAGAGATTTTTATAGGTAAATGGATGTAACTTGAGACAACACAAATGCCCATCAACTGAGGAATGGATAAAAAATATGTGGTATTTTAATACAATGGACCATTATTCAGCCACAAGGAAGGATCACACTGAGGCTTTTATAGGTAAATGGATATGACTTAAGACCATACTCATAAGTGAAATAAATCAAATTCACATGTGTAAATACCATGTTGACTCCCTACTATAAGAAACTGAAAGAGTAAATAAGATTCAGAATTTTCAATAAATATTGTGAAAGGGTAAGAGACTGCTCAGAGGGGAAAAAATAACTCAGACAGGGAAAAGGCGAAAAGGAGGAAGGGAAAAGAAAAAAGATAAGTATGTATATATACACTTAAGATAGCTAAGATGATTGTACTACTAATTCCGTTAGTCCTTGGAACAAAACAGTTACCATTCATAGGATGAGATCGTTTTGCATGTTATATCTGGTAACTGGAGTAACTCTTTTGAAGATAACTATGCAAAATAACAACCTTGGTTATGTTCCTATCACCTTGTTTTGAAAGCATATATTGTTACCATTTTGGACTCTTTGTTATTTGTCTCTTTTGTTTCTTGTTTTTATTATAGTTTATTTTGTTTTGGTTTTGGTTTTGGTTTTGCTTTTCCCTCCATCACAGAAAGGACAGATGTACGTGTTTAGGCTTGTACAAGCCTAGAACTTCTCCTGAAGAGTTTACAAGAGTTGATTTTATTATGTGTGGTGGTATGAATAGCTACCTTGAAGAAAATAAGACATTATGGTAGCCACTGCTGATTTTCTGTCATCTTGTTTTGACATCCAATAATGCTTTCATTCTTTGTTTTGATTGGTTTTAGTCTGTTTCCTATTATTTGATTTCAATATGTGTGAAGGTATGGACACCCATTTCAAAGAGAACAAGAGACATTATGGTAGCCACCGCTGATTTCCTGTTGTCCTGTTTTGAAATCCTGTGTTGCTTGCATTGTTTCGTTCTGATCTGCTTTGTTCTGTTTTGGTTTTATTCTTTTTAAATAAAAAAATAAATAAATAAAATGGAGTTTAAAAATATATAAATAAACAAATATTGATTTCTGTAGATGTTTGGCCAGCAGACACAGAGCCTGTGAGGTCAGTTCTAAGGACTTGCATAGAATACCTCCCACCGCCCCCAGCAGGGAGAGGAAGGAGAAACAGGCAACACTGCAGACAATTCTTGTGGAAACAGCTCCCAGTGCTGGGAAGGAAGCCTTAGTCTAACTGCCTTCCTTCTTCTCCACTTACTATATGGACTAAAGCAAGTTATCCACCTTTTTAAATCTTGCCTAAAAGATGAGGACACGCCTACCTTACAGGGTTACCAGAAGAACCATCACAAATCAGTGCATACCCGGACCCTGGCATGCATTAAAATCAAATGAATGACAGTCCCTTTTCCCTTAAAAATCCTTCCTAAAATTAATTAGCAATTTGTTCAAAGCTTATGAATTTTGCTTCATGAGGATTTGCCTTAGATGAAACAGTACACACAAAACTGAAATTTCCAGGCGTAGGCTTCAAAATTGTCTATTAGTTGTTACTTTTATATCCTTAAAGTTGTCTACATATCCGCAAGTGTAAACTGAAAACGGTCAGAATAACTCATCCAGAGGGGTTAAAGATGAAGCTCATGAAAAGCTTGGTGCAACCCCTAACAACCTAAAAATGGCTGTTTATTTGGGAGTTTGTTTCTGTTTTTCTAAGAGTTATTCAAATAATCATCTCATATCTTTCTTTCAATTTATGCCTTGAGCCATAGCTATGAATTCTGCATTTTAGAGCCTGGTACATTTCTACTGCAATAATTTAATCCATGTAAAATGTAAACGAGAAGAATATGGAAATGTTTATTTAGATAAGCCTAAGAAACTGCCATGAAAATAATAAAGCCAAACAGATTCTTCATTTTAAAAGCATCAATCAGTCTAAGACAGCTCAAAGGGTCCACCTGCAGACTAAAATGTAGAAATCACCAACACATCCAGGAGAAAATTGCTCTCCAGTCTCTTAGAGTCCAGAAAGTTCCTGGAAGCGCAAATAAGTAGGGTCAGGGAGGGAATTAACATTTATTTAGCACCTTCTATGTGTCAAAGGCTATACTTGTATTGTGTTCTTCATTATGCATGAAACTGCAACTGACCTACACAATGGTTTTGTTTCCTGTACGACTGTTACTCTTTTGCATTCTTTTTAGGTGTTTCATTGAATGTTGATCAGGTATTAATTCATCGAGTCCTCTCAATAACCATTGGAAGTAGAATTTAGCACTTCTTAGAAGGGAAATTGAGGCACGGAGAAAGTAAATAAAGCTGTCCTGGGTTGCACAGATAATAAATGATACAGGAACAATCTTGACTCTGGTACTAAATTACACAGACTTGTCAGCAGTGCACAGATCCTGGTGTAAAGCTGCAAAATCACTAAAGTGAAATAACCACAGGTTAGCTATTTTAGACCGCTGCAGTGATAGTCATAAATTTTGGTGGTGGTGTTTTTTGGTGAAAGATCTAGGTATGAGTAACTATTTTGATTATTGTTGCTGCTGCTGGTTAAATGAGTAATGCGTTCATGTGGTTCACAATTCAAAAAGTATCCAGTGAGTGCTCAGGAATCAACCTCTCGCCCTCACACCAGCAGTGCTACTCATTTCCCGAGCAGCTTTACAAGGTTTCTATGTGTATACAAGCAGGTAAACAGACACTGCTACAGCAGCCTACTACTTCCACACCGTTCTGTTTAGGGGACACAGGAACTGCAAACCTTCACTGCAGGTCACTGCACAGAGATTCTCCTCATTCCTCACGAGAGCTGTCAAGTACTTCATTGGGTAATCTGTCCTCCACCAGACGTCTAGGCTGTTTCCAGACTTTTTCTGTTACAAACAATGCAGCAATGAGTGGCTCGGTCCACAGATCATTTTTTTCGTATTTGAGAGTAGATGTGATAACATCTTAGAGTGGAATTGCCAGGTTCAACAGTAAGTGTGTTTGATAGATATTATTGCCCTCTTTCCCGCTACAGAGATTATTCAAATTGTAAAATGGATGAGCCCTGTTGCTCTTATTTATGAGTGTCTGGAAGTATTTAAGTGCTCCGAACAGTCTAGCTGCTGTTATCTGAGATGCTGATGCCTATAAAAAGGGCGACTTCAATGGTGACTTAAAATTTCAAATTTTTGTTTTCACCAAAAAGGTATTCCTAGTGACTGTTTAAAAGTTCAAATTTGAAATACACTACTTTTATATTAATGAAACTCTGCTTTTATCTGATTTATCTGTTAGGGTCCTGAACAGATAGCACCCCGTTTGTGGGAACAAAGATGTAAATGTCCTCTCAAGTTGTGTACCCCTATATGTACACAACCCAGTATCTGCCTTTGCCTAAGATTTCATTTAGAAGGAAAGTGTGGGGAGTCAAACAAGCACATTTGCGCCTCACCCTGATGCCAGTGACTCTGGCTAAACATCAATGCTGTCTTTGAGAGCAGCCACGCTCCCAGGGCATTTTCACAGCCAGCTCAGATGACGCAGCTGACACAGAACTTTAAACCTGGAGCCAAATGAAAGGGCAGCTTGTGTGTGGCATCTTGTCTTTATGTAAGAGCAGCCTGCTGGCGCTCTCTCCCCCCACCCTTCCTCTCTCTCCCCCTCATTGCTTTTGCTATCTTAAGATACCATGAGCTGTTCTCCTCTGAGATAACCCTCTGCCATGTCACCTTGCCTTGGAGCCAGCCAATGATGGACTGAAACCTCTACAAACTGTGAATCAAATAAATCTTTCCTTCTTAAAAAAAAAGAAAGAAAGAAAGAAAGAGCAAAACCCAGGAGATGATCCCAAAACCACCAGCATCCTAACCCCTGGTTGTTACTTCATTAAACACAGGAAGTTGGATGGTGGCCTATAGAAAGAAGGGGTCAGCCCAGCAGCGCTAAGCTTCATTAGATTTCGATACCACTCACAGTGCACACTGCTTACCCTGTGCGGTGTGTTGGATTAGCTGTGCTTTGCTTTCCACCAAGCAGCCTCGGTCCTGAATTAGCTTTGAGATGGAGCTGATATATATGTGGCCTTGGCCAGTGGAGCTGGGAAACAAAGAGGACCATTTATACTCCCCAGGGAAGAGCTCGGCAACTGGGCCCGGGAAGGGGGTGCTACAGAGGTGGCTACATTCACCCCTGCCTTGTCTCTAGCATCTTATCTGTGCCTGCACAGAGGAACCACCACAAAGGGGACACAGGGTGGAGAAGGCTCATGTCTAATCCCCAGCAGCCCCAAGAGCTCAGCTCCAGTGATAAAGGGATCTAGCAGTAATCCAGCCTTTCAACAAAGAGATTTAATATCCTAAGGGGTGAGATCCACTCAGCCATGCAGGTGCCTTGGTTTTTTACAGCTAGAATAAGGAACTTTAAACTCTTAGCTTGGGTTTGCAGGACTGATAGCGTTTTGAGAGATTCTTTGAGTGAGATGATTTATTTTCTGGCCTGATTATATGATACTTTCATATTTTAAAGATACAGTTTATTACATAATTATGCACAATTTGCACCTAACCTAAAGACACTGAATTAAAAGTCTAGAAAGCCTTTCAGGTTACAAACCATTTCCCTTCATTACTATGTAGTATAGTGACACCTAGTGGCAGCAGCAAAGATAGCAGCCAAGCGAGAGCCTGAAGAAACAGATTAAGGGTCGCTTTGCTGCCTGCAGAAACTGCACCTTTGTGTAGACAGGTGCCACCAGTTCCGATTGAAAAGTGTTCTCGTATTTCTCCATTGCTGATAGCATGCTTAGCCCTGTGTTGTAAGACTTTGGAGACCTGAACAGGGAGGAGAAGTGGGAAGTTAACGAACCTAGTCAATCCAAAACACCTTTCCGGTAGAAACGGCATTTGTTGCAGCCTGTGGAGGGTCTCCAGATGCTGCTCAAAGAACAAAATGCCTGTGGCTTAAGGCATGCAGCACGTGGTCCAGGAAAGGGCAGACCAGGCACAGCGAGGTCCACCACTGTGGAATCTGAAAAGGCTCCACCGCCTCCCTCCAAATATTTCCCCTTCCTCGCCTGTCCGGTGCTCAGATTATTAGCACTTTGCAGCACATTCCTTTGGAATCTGAAATGTCTGCAGCCGTTTGTCATACCTACTAAGCGCAAATGACCCTGATGTGGGGAATACTTTGAGCCTTGCCAACACTCTAGAGAAGAAAGGTGAATTCAAGCTGAGAGCAAGTGACTGTTAAAGAATCTGAAAGGAGATTCTATATTGTATCAAACTAAATGCCTGGAGCTCCTTACATGGTCACAGCAACCAGCTGATTCTTGATGCTGATGACTCTAAAGCAAACAAGCAGCTGAGGGGAGGCTGACGCGGCCTGGAAGAGCAGAGGCAGAACCCGGAAAGAGAGGCATCCGAGGCACCGTCACCCCCACACACACAGGGCTTTACACACGGCCCTTCTGACAAACGCAGGGTGTCTCCACCCTCTGATGCTCCACAGTTCAACTCAGTCCTGACCACGCCTACTGGAATTAGCGTCATATCCGTATTTCAAACCCCCATTTCTGATACCACTCATAGCCTGAAGGTCGTCCCTGGCACCTCTGACCCACAACCAACACAGTGTTTCTGTGACAGTCTCTCCGTGTTTAACAATTCACTAGAGCAGTGCACAGAACCCAGGAAAACGTGCTCCTTGCTAGGACTGGTTTGTTTTGAAGTATAGGATAAGGGACACAGAGGAAGAGTCAGCTGAAAAGGGACTCAGGTCAGGTCCATCCTGGAGATAGGAAAGTAGCGTATGTGGGGGTGAGCGGGGGAGCAAACTGTGCAGTGAGGAAGCAATCGGAGAAACGCACTGGGGATAAGCACATGTCTAGTCGAACCTGGTAACATGGCAGTGTAGCACTTTTATTTCACTTTGCCACATTCCTTGCAAATCTGAACTGGAAAGTTCAGGTATTTGGGGCCCCAAACCTAGCATTTTGTTCCTTCCTTATTGTCTGCTCAGCACATCATGATGGTCTGAGATGGAGGTGGAAATCCAGCTCAGGCCAGGGGCGGAACACAGTGGTATTCTCACCTTACACAAACGTGGACTATTTCTTTGAGTCACTCTGATACTTCTCCAGGTAAATAGCCTCCTAAAGAGAACGCTATCTATTTTATCAGGATGATAAACTGCTTTTAATAAAAGAAAGTTAGTTGTTTCTGAAATCAGATATTCTGCCCAAAAGTCACTTGTCTTTGCACCCCAAAGACAGCCAACACTGCGCCCCCTAGAAACTCCTAGCTATCCACTAGGAGCCAGAGGCTGATCTGTGTCTGTTTTCTCCTCTCAGTCAAAGGCACGATCCCTATGGGCAATTGTTCAATATGTATTTTCTACACTGTACCCCAACCTCCGTGAGTGTAGTGTGTTTCCTTGCCTATTAGCATTGGGTTTAGTCCTGTAACGTCAAGGAATTTTGGCTGACAAAAGTAAACAAAGACTTAAAATGTAATCACAGGCGTGAGCTTTCCTCTTTTGTCTGTCATGGCCATGAGAAGAGCATTCCCTGGGTAGTGTCTGCCCCTGTAACTGGGGCCTTGCAATGAACATATAGGGAACAGATCTGACACTATTCCATAGTGAGGAGCGAAGTCTTGCTGGGACCCAGGGCTTGAAAGAACAAATCTTGATAAGATCCAGATGTTGTTAAAGGCAGCAAGGAGTTTAAACCAGTTACTCCACGCTTCTCTTCCCTCCCTTCTCCCCCGACCCTTCATCGATGCAGAGGCCTCACTGTGTTGTTGCGTTTCCCAGGGTGACCCCAATTTCCTGAGTTCAAGCAATCTTCTCCCCTCACCCCATGGAGTAGCTGGACCTACAGGCACCTGCTACCATTCCCAGCTCCTAAAGCAGTTGTTTGAACTCTATTCAGGGAGGAAAATATGCTTCAAAACAAAGAAAAGATGAAGACTCTAAGCAGAGAAACAAAAACTATTTTTAAAAATGATATAAAATTCAAAGCCGAGGGTGAGCTAGCGGCAGAATGCCTGTGAGGTCCTAGGTTCAATCTCTACAAAATGGAGGACAAGAGGAGAAACTTTTAAAATTTCACTTTTTTCTTCTGTTTTGCTACTGGGGACTGAACTCGTGACCTCATGCTTACCAGACAAGTGCTTGAGCCGCTGAGCTAAATCCCCAACACATTTCTGAAATTAAAAAAAAAAAAAATCATTAGATCACATATATAGTTAAACTCCTAAAAACCAAAGATAGAGAAAAATCTTTAAAATGTAAGACAAACAAAAAGTTTTAATCATTGACTTCTCATCAAACAATGGAGGTCCAAAGAAATAGGACATCACTAAGAGACATAAGAAAAAACTGTTGACCCAAAATTCTATATACAGTGAAAATATTTTCCAAGAAGGAAGGCAAAAAATTAAAGATTCTCTGATAAATGAAAGTTTATGACAAGTCATTGCTAATAAACATATACTACAAGCAATATTGGAGGAAATTCTTCAGGCTGAAGTGAAATGATACCACATGAAAACTGACCTTCACAAAGGAAGGAATGATATGACACGATAAACACAAAATGCTGCTTTTTCCATTTTCTTAAAGTAAGAGTGACTATTCCAAAAAGTAAAAATTGTACAGTGGAATGTATACCACATACACATCTGTATGGTTTCAGGTTTCTACATGTTCAAATGGAGTGATACAATATTAACTCAAAGTAGATCATAAGTTAGGGATATAAATATTGTAATCTCCAAGCAAACACACATGCACACACATACACACACATGTGCACACACAAATAATGCAAAGACACAGCTATAAAGCTAATGAAGATTACATCAGCATTCTAAAACGTATTCAAATAGTAATTTTTAAAGCAAGTAAGACCCGTAGAACAAAAAGAAAACAATAGGCTACAAGGGCAAGAGGCATCACAATTCCTGCCTTGAAATTATATTACAAAGACACTGTCATAAAATCAGCATAGTACTGGCGAAAAAAAAAAAAAACAGACCTGAGAATCAATGGAACACACTACAAGATGCAGATACAACTACAAGGACACTCAGCTACCTTGTCTTTGGCAAAGAGGCCAAACATGTTCACTGGGAGAAAGGTAGCTCTTTAATAAATGGTGCTGGAAAAACTGACTTTCCACATGCTGGAGATTAAAACTAGACACATGTGTATTATAATGCACTAAAATAAAGTCAAAATGGATCAAAAACCTAAATATTAAAACAGAAACACTAAATCTACTGGAAGAAAATGTAGGTAAAAATCTTGAAGACATAGGGATAGGCAGAAAGTTTATGAACGAAAAGCAAACTGCATAGGAAGTACTTCAAAGAATGAACAACTGGGATCTTATCTTATTAAAAAGCTTTTGCAAATCAAAATAAATCCTCAACAGAAGGAAAAAATAATCAACAGAGAGAGGAAAAATTTAGGCAACTGTCCACCAGACAAAAGACTTATATCTGGAATATACAAATAACTGAAAACATCAGATCCCCCAAACTCAAAAACTCAATTCAAAAATGGGCACCTGAGATGAATACACATTTCTCAGATGAAGAAATACAAATGGCAAATAAATATATTTAAAAATGCTCAACATCATTTATCATTCAAGAAATGCAAATTAAAACAACACTGCGAAGCCATCTCACTCCAGAAAGAATGGCTATCATCAAGAAATCAACCAATAACAAATGCTGGTGAGACTGCGGGGAAAAAGGCACTCTCTTCCAGTATTGATGGGAGTGAAGACAGGTGCAACCACTGTGGAAATCTGTGTGGAGATTTCTCGTAAAACTAGAATTCGAGGTCCAATTCAATCCAGATATTCCCCTTCTGAGTATTTTCCCAGAATAATTGAAAACATTATACCACAATGATATAAGTGCACCCATATTTATAGTGGCACAATTTGTAATAGCCAGATTTTGGAAACAAACCAAATGCCCATCAACTGAGGAATGGATAAGAAAGAGGTGGTACAATGGAGTACTACTCAGCTATAAAGAAGGATAAACTTGGGGATTTTATAGGTAAATGGATGCAACTCAAGACCATACTCAAAAGAGAAGTAAAACAGACATGCATATGTAAACATTGTATTGTTTCCCTAGTATAAGAAATTCAAAGAGTTAATAATACCCAAAATGTACAATAGATATTGTGAAAGGGGAAGAAAATGCTCAAAAGGAAAGAAAACTTGGGATGGGGGAAAGGAGAAAAGAAGGAAGGGAAAGAAAAAATAAATGTGTGTATACATATATACATTTATTTTATATATGTATATAAAATTATATATAGAGATATATGTATATATACATATACACACGATAACCAAGATAATTATCCTACTAATTTCTTTTAGTTCAATGAAAAGAATGGTTTATGCTTATATCGTTTGATCAGTTTTGCATGCCTATGTCTTGTAGTCTGAAGACTACTTTGAAGATAACAATTTGAACTATATTAACCATTGTTAACTTCCTATTGTTTTGTTTTGAAATTCTGTATCATTGTTTTTATTTTTTTCTCTTTAAAATAAAGTTTTGAAAAAAGAAAAAGAAAAAAATAATCAAAATGGTAGACCAAAATCTAACTATAATAAAAATTACATAAAATGTTAATGGTCCAAACCTGCACTGTCCAAAATGGTAACCATTCACCACATGTCCTACTTAAATTTAAGATAACTAAAATCTCATATTAAAACTTAAATTCTTCAGTTACACTTGCCATTTATAATAACTCAGTAGTTACATGTGGTCTGGGGGTAGTGGTAATTCCAGGACCCAAGAGGGTAAGACAGAGGGGCACAGTGAGTCCAAGGCCAGTCTGTGCTATGTAAGTCAGACCATGTCTCGAAACAACAACAAAAAATCATGTCTAACGGCTGTCATACGGTACATGTAGGATATTTCCCTCACTGCTGAAAGTCCTAGTGGTCAGTGTCAACCTGAACAGTCTAATTAAAAGGTAAAGATTATGGGAATAGATAGAAATATAACTCCCAGGGGCTGGGGATTTAGCTTAGCGGCATAAGCACCTGCCTTGCAAGCAGGCAGTCGTGAGTTCGATCCCTGGTACCGATAAAAAGGAAAAAGACAAAAAAAAAAAAAAAAAAAAAGAAATGTAACTCCCAGCTACACATCATCTACAAAAAAAGTCCTTGAAATATAAACACACTGGTTGAAAGTACATTCATAGAAAAAGATACACCTCCTTGTAAGTTACAAGGAGGCTACAATGGCTATGTTAATATTAGATAAAGTAGGCTTTGAGAAAAGTGTCAGGAGATAAAAAATGACATTTTGTAATATCAAAAACATTAACTTACCAGGATGGCATAATCACAACCATGTATGTGCCTAGGAATATAACTTTAAAATACACAAAACTAAAATCAACAGAATTAAAGAGAAAATATATAATTCGACAAACATGGTTGAAGAGTTTAACATTCCAATTTCAGCAATTAGTAGAGCAAATGAAAACAAAAAAAGAATAGCAGTAGAATATCTTTCCAAAGCTACTTTCCATTTTAACTCGATATTTACAGAGCATGAAACTCAGTAATTGCCGAACACACATTTTTTATAAGCATACATGATACCTTCATTAAGCCAGAACAGAGCTGTGGACATAGCACTGTTCAGTCTCCACAACAGCCAAACACACACACACACACACACACACACACACTGAGGGCCACAAAAGAAGATTTAATACACTTAGAAGAATTCAAATCATAAAATTGGCTCTCTATGGTGGAATTAAATCAGAAATCACTAACAAAAGTCAGGTGTGAGAGCACACGCCTGTAATCCCAACACCCTGGGAGGCTGAGGGAAGACCACGACTACTTCAAGTCCAGGCTGTGCAAGGTGAAGACTTAGCAATAACGTGTCTCAAAATAAAAAATTAAAAATAGGGCTGGGGATTTAGCTCAGCGGCATAAGCACTTGCCTTGTAAGCAAGTGGTCGTGAGTACCGATCCCCGGTACTGGAAAAAAATAAAATAAAATAAAAAATGGGCTTGGGGATGGAACTCAGGGTATAGTCTCTGGGTTAAGCCCTAGTACTCCAGTCAAAAAAAATAAAGGAAGAGAGGGAGAAAGAAGACGAAGGAAACACAAGAAAAAGGGGGAGGGAAATCACCAACAATATAAAAACTTAAAACATTCAAATCTTTAAAAACTAAACATTGTTGACGGCATACATATAAAACAATGCCTAGAGGGAAATTACTCAGGGCTGCAAAACAATAATAATCTTAATATCAAAGACTCCAATTTAAGAAAGTAAAAAGAAGACAAAAAACATGCAATGAAGCGGTGAAATAATTGAAATGAAAACTCAAATAATAGATAAAAGAAAATATAGCTATTTGAAAAGATCAGGGAAATGAATAAACTGATAGCCAGGCTAATCAAAAAGAAAAATGCAAATTACAAATATCAGAAATAGAACACATTAAAAGGATAATAAGAAAATACTACAAAAAAATTTATATCAATTTGACAAAAAAATAGTAAAATTTCTTTCAAAAAAATTGTGATCAAAAGACAATAGAATGGCTGGGCGTGGTGGTGCCGGCCTGTAATCTCAGCACTCTGAGGCTGAGGCAGGAGGATCACTGTGGGTTCAAGCTGGGTCTGGGTGACAAAGTGAACTCAAGGCCAGCCTGAGCTACACAGTGAAAACTTGTCAGAAAAAAAAAAAAAAAAGACAATGAGACAAATATTAATAGCTCTCTGTCTGCTAAAGTAGTGGAGCATACCATCAGAAACTTTCCCACAAAGAAAACCCCAGGATTAGACTGTAAACTGTTGGAAACACTTGTTAGGAAATAACATGTGCCAGGAGGGGTACATGCCTGCGGGTTTGGCTGTACAGGAGGCAGAAGCAGGAGGGTCACTTAGCCCAGGAGGTAAAGTGTAGTCAAGCCAACACACTGGGACCCCAGTGTCACAAAAAAACAAAAAGAAGAAAGGAAGGTGGAGACAGAAACATGGGGGGAGAGAGACAGAGGCAGAGAGACGGAGAGAGATAAATGTTATACATCCTTCCTGAAAACTAAAAGAGGAAAAATCTCCAAAATGTTTCTTGAGAGCCCCAATACATATAAATATATGTACATTACATATATGTAACATACACAAGATAAGTT